GACGGTTCTGGCTACCTGCGGAAGGCCCTTGGGTCACCAGACGCTTCCAGCAGAATTTAATCATGGAAGGTCTCTGGAAGGCTTTGGGCAGGTTTTGGGCTAGCAGACACCGAAGATATATCATACACGCTCGCCACCATCTTTGTGAGGGCTCAACGGATTGCAATGCGGGTTCTTGGGAACTGCTCCTTTGCTTGTCATTTTATGCCTAGTGTTATCTTCTAAAGCCTGTTCTGCTGTGCGTGATGGTGCGATTACAAATGGCGGCGAGTGTTTAAAGCTGTCTGTTCATCACTTTTGTTATGTTTCCTGTAAAGCTTTCTTCTGTGAACAACGCGGCGAACTGTTGCCTGCTAACTGCGCCGTGCACCTGCCTGAAAAGTTATGTAAACATTCGTATGCATGCATGCAGACAAATCAGACAAAGAGTTATTTTTTTCGTACTAGTCATTTGTGTTGCTGTGCCTGCTTTCTGTGCTCTTAGCGAAAACAATTGTGGTCGAACTAGCTTGCTCCGTCGTATGTTTGCGTGCGTGAACCTCACAGAACTTGACCACTCAATCTTTGATGGTGATAGAATGCCCTTTAACTGTGTGATGCTCGCTCGCTAGGTCGCGAACGGCGTGCAAGCATCCTTCGATCTATGGGCCAGCGTATGTGGTATGATAGAACGTTACACTACGATGTGTCGGTGCGATAAAAACAAAACAAAAAGAAACTGAGGTGTATACAGAAATATATACATCCTTTCGTTGCTTATTTCATTGTCAGCTTTGTCTTTTCATCTTTTCGTAATAATGCCGTACAGTAAGTACGATTATGCCCTAGTAGGTCGAATCAAAGCTGAATTGCATGACATTTTGTAAGCGCCTCTTAGCGCTCACATAGAAAGGGCAGTGCAAAAACTCGGGAAAAAGAAGGACAGTAGAGACAGAGCGCCTCTTAGCATTGGAAAAGATGCCCAGGCATGTTCCAAAACGAGCCTACAATGCGTCATGCAAAAGTTTATTTTAGATACGATGCGCTTTCGTACCAAGGCGTACATATGTCTAAACTTAAACAAAAACGTAACTTGGTCAATGCATGTTGGCAACGTATACTAGGCGATAGCTGAGCAGGTATACAATTAAAACTGCTTAGAACAAACCTCTATATAACGAATTCCTCGATAAAACAAAGTTTTTCTATTCTCGGTCGTTACTCCATAGAAGCACTTGTACTTTGCAACCTTTATGTAACAAAGTAACAGCGGGAGACAACCTTGATATAGGGAATTTTCGCCACTGACAGTCTAGGAATTTTATCCCGAATTTTGGCACGAGCATGCCATCTTCGACGACTGCCCCGCCGCTGACGAAGCGGCAGTGGCACGCTAGTGACCTTGGCCACTCCCAGGTGAGAATGAGCGCGTGTTATTGTGCACGGGTGTGTGCAAGCGATGGAGGGGGGTGGGGGGCTGCGCTTTACGGGCTGGTGTTTCTGCTGTTCTTGTCGCTTCGGACTGTTATGACTCTCATCGCCGCCAGCACTGTTATGTAGTGCGTATAGATCGCGGGTCGCCAAGATTGTCCAGTAGCGTGATTCTCAGTTCGTGGCTGCTTCTGCGCAGAGCATATAGACGAGGGGACAAGATGACGGTGAGTCAAGGGAAGGTTTATGTGCAACATAGAAATAGAAGCGTTACATATTCGGCATGGGGGCCGACAACTTAGGGGCTCGAAGAGCTGATATGTCTTTGGACGCTCTAACCCTGTCCTCTTTTTCTCTGACGGATAGGTCAACTGCTTGGCATCGTGCCGCTTGGTTTTTTATAGGGCCCGGGTGAACCCTTATGTCAGCAACGTCCAATCAGCACCGCCACTGGTCGTGTTGCCAGAATCCTTCAATTAAGAATCGTCGTTGAGTTGCGCCTATGGACGAGTGATATTGTCATGCATTGCATGAGACTCGCCAGACTTGATGGCGCCGATTGCATCATCGGGCCGCCATGGGGCCGCTGCGTGGAGGGAGCTTGCTGTGTGTTGCTTAAGACAGACCGGTGCCGCCGGGCCGTCGTTGAGGTGATGGCGTCAGGCAGGCTCGCTCGCTGGCCTTGACACTGCTTGCCTTTGCTGAAGCAATGATGTTCAGTCAGGACTCCCAGGCATAACAGGGTGCATGCGCAAATGTGCTCTCCCCCTCCTAACTAAAAACGAGCAAAAAAAACACTTTTGCATTGGCAGTGCCACGCTTTTTGTTAGGGTCGCATATGAGGAGCCGCGCTGGATATGGAGGCTGGAATAGTTTTCCACGGTATGCGTAACGTTCGCTTTCGTTTTTGATGTGCACGCTTGCATGGTTTTATTGCGCGCGCATTGTGTTTTCAGCGACTGAAAACTGCACATGCTCCGTCATTTTCCATTCTTCCTTAGCTTAACAGGTGCATTTTTCGCTTCATTCCAACTAAACAAGTTCCCATCCACACTCAGTCGATTGTAGAGAAGCTTTACTTTAGCACAGTTCTCTCTCTCTTTTTCCGAACTTTTCCACAAATTTCTGCGTGCCTCACGAACCCTGTATGAAAAATCCTCAGAAAAGGACAATACCGAGCCCTTTAACTTGTGCGTAACTTTCAAAACAGACATCTTCTCACGATAATCAATAAACTTTAGAATAACTGGTCTGTCTTTGTTTTCTGTTATGCGGCCAAGCCTGTGGCATCTTTCAACAGTAATTGCCCTTATACCTAGTTTATTCTCGAGGATTTCATTGACGCTATCCTCAAGTGTCTGAGGTGTTTCCCTAGGGGGTTCTTTTAGGCCATAAATGATTAAGTTATTTCTACGGCTCCGATTTTCAAAATCATCAACTTTGTCTTCAACGGGTGTTAGTTTGTGTTGCATTTGAGTCATAGAATTTTCAATTTCTTTCACTTGTTTAGGCAATGGAGAAAATTTATTTATGTGACGCTCAATGGCATCAACTCATTCTGCTACCGTGCCAAATTTTTCTGCTAAATATTTTTGATTGGCCTGTACTTTGTCAATAGCTGCTCTCATTGTTTTTTGGCCAGCGAGTAGCTCAGATAGCATTTCCTTTTCCGTAAGAGGACCAGAATTAGCCTCAACGTCACCGCAAACCAACAGATCAAGAGGTATAGGTGCAACACAAGCAAAAAGAAGCTTTAGACACAGTGGGCAAGGCAGCAGCAGCAGGAAACGGTTATCATTACGATAACATGGAGCAGGAAAGTACCTACTAACCTGTATCGCAAGGCAAAGCGGATTACTGAGCATGCTGCCTTCTCTGCAACTGACAAGCCCACTGCCGTGGAATGAGCCTGCCCGTAGATTTAAAGGCTCAGAAGTGATCACGGGAACCGACGTCACTCGGCGATGATTCCACGTGGACGCTATGATGAAAGGGGGCGTTGTTTCCTCGATCCAGCAGCGGTCGTCCACGAGTGATAAAAACCAGCCCTCGTTAGACCAGCCAGACGAGGTGACGTCATCATCCCGAGCCAGCCCCGGGAAGACGGTGCACACCGTAGGACATTCACCAAGAAGAAGCGCCAAGACCTGTATCGCAAGGCAAAGCGGATTACTGAGCATGCTGCCTTCTCTGCTGCTGACAAGCCCACTTGCTCTAGTAGCTCTAGTTGCTCTAGTAGTAACAATGAACTTTGATTTTAATGCGGGTCGCGATCACTGGCGCGCGTGCTATCTCGGCAAGTATATTGGGGCACTATCAATGCGAAGAGACAATGTGAAAAGAGCACTTCTTTCTGAAACGACTGCATTTGCTTACACCAGCGTTTTGTAGGAGTTCTGCAATATCTGATCCAAAATATTTGGCTGCCAGCCTTACTTTGTAAAAATTTCAATTTGTTCTTGTTGCATTCATTGCATTTAACACACCATCGTGTTGTTGCCAGAGCTAATTGGCTAATCGCAAAGGCTACGGTCTCTCAAACTCGCGAGGCAGATGGAAACACGTGACGAGTCAACCTCCGAAAATCCGTCCTCACCGTTGTCTCGGATAGTTTCCGTTAGTGCCTAATCTTTGCAGTGATGTCATGGTTGTCTGCATTTAAACAAAAAAAGGGGGAAAAAAATAAAAGCAAAGCTGAACGTGATCGGGGGCCACACTATGTGCAGGCAGTGAAACCATGCACGTGCGCACGGCATTGCAAACAAAGAGCGAACGACACAGATATTGTGAAAAACAATGTGGTAAAATGCCCTCCATATGCAGCACGGCCCCACATATGTGATGCCAACTAAAAGTGTGGCACTATCAACACAAAAGTAGTTTTTTTATGTTTTTAGTTTTTAGGAGGAAGGGGGCACAGCGTGCAGGCCCGTCTGCCCGCTTCGCGCTCACCTACGTGCGCTCTTTCTCACCTGGTTGTCACCGGGACCACGAGCGCGCGTTGCACACCACCGCCACTTCGTGCTTGGTCGGCGGCAGGGTGCCTGCAGAAGATGCATGCTCGTACCCAAATAACAGAATACGGGGCAACATTCATAGATTGTCTATGGGGAAAATTCGTAATATGAAGGTTGTCTCCCGCTGTTACTTTGTTGCATAAGGGTTGAAAATACATGTGCTTCTATGGAGCAGGCTGCAGCGGCTGCATTTCCGATGGAGGCGGAAATGTTGTAGGCCCTAGTGCTCAGATTTGGGTGCACGTTAAAGAACCCCAGGTGGTCAAAATTTCCGGAGCCCTCCACTACGGCGTCTCTCATAATCATATGGTGGTTTTGGGACGTTAAACCCCACATATCAATCAATCATGCTTCTATGGAGCAACGGCAGAAAATATAAAAACTTTGTTATATTGAGGAATTCATTATATTGATGTTTGTTATAAGCAGGTAGGTGTTAGTGCACGGGTGTGTGTGTGAAAGAGAGAGGAGCTTCATGTGGAAAAATGTAGCAAAAGTTCACCCGAGTGGATTTCTGTGGTGCCTGATGATATGTGGCAATGAGAAAAGGAACTTTGGTGTTGTGTGTTGCAGCCCCTGCAGTTCAAGCTGGACCCCCGGCTGGCACGCCTGCTTGGCATTCACACGCAGACGCGACCCGTCATCATAGCCGCCCTGTGGCAGTACGTCAAGACCCACCGGCTGCAGGATCCACATGAACGGGAGCACATCAACTGCGACAAGTACCTCGAGCAGATCTTCCAGTGCCAGCGCATGAAGTTTGCCGAGATCCCCCAGCGCCTGCACCAGCTGCTGCACCCACCCGACCCCATTGTCATCAATCACGTCATAAGGTCGGTTCTCCCCGCTGAAATCAGTATTGGTGCAGTCTTGGAATGTTCCATGATATAGAAGAAAGCGTACAGCGACTCGAGCATCATAGTGCTTAGTTGAAAGCCCAAAAGTGTTTCAAACTGTCTTTTCGGCCATGTTCCATGAAGGGCACTTGAGTTCCATGAACCGTGAGAATAAGTGTGACCTGCTCCCATTTAACCACCGTGAACAACCTATTTGCTTGTTTAGACAGCAAAATTTCGATTGCACTTGGCACTGATGAATCTGTCACCCGCAGCATTCGCAGAGTCTATGGGTAGGAGCTCTCAGTGCTTGTGATTAGTCAGGCACCATAGAGTTTGTGCCATGTGTGAACCCACAGTCGCGGGGCAAGCTGGGTAAATAATGCGCCTGAATGAAGTTCATAACACATGCTCAGAAATTCATTTGGAAATTATTCGAGCCAAGAGATGAAAGGTGTGTTTGGCATGGGGCAGTTTCAACATGTGCTGATTTGCCAGTACACTGCATTTTCTTTCTAAGTGGAAATAGGCAACAGGCAACACTTCGAGCTAGCTGCGGGCTGCATGAGCGTTTGGGTTTGTGACTGCCAAGAGATGAAAGGTTTTTGCCGTGTGTCTGGCTTGTGCTCCTTTCGAAATAAGACATACTTTTGTGCATGCTATATTTGGTTTACTTGAAGACATAGCAATGCATAAAGCATCCAACACCTGTGTGGTCAGCAGGTAATTTCACTGCCTTATTTATAATCTCAAAGGGGTACAGTCAAGCCAACTTATAAAGAACACCATGGTCTAACGTTATATCTATAGTGACCATATTTCAGTGCTTCTACAATTTTCTTCTGCTGCCCATTGAAACTGTGTGCACATGTAGCTTACATTTTTGAAAGACCCCTATATTTACAATGAACACTTCGGACGAAGTTGTGGTTTACTAAATAATATGGTGCATACGAAATGGGAAGGGAGAGGGGGGGAGGAGCTAAAACAGGCATTTTGAAGCATGAGAGAAACACACGCTTGTACGTGCCCTGCAGCAGTTTACTCGCGATGAGCACCGCACGAAGATATTGAACACTGTGGGTGAGGTTGTTCGCTTTCGAGAAGTTTCTCGAGTGACAGCGAGGGAAAAAAATTAAAAATAGCAGGTAGCATGAAAACTTGCAGTCGGCTTTTCGTGCTGGAACCTTTCCGAAGTTGTTCTCTGCGCCCGCAACCACCCACGATGAACCAAACAATGCCTTTGAATGCAAGAAGCCATAAATGCAAGAAGCAATAACTTTTCGTTGCATAAAATTCACCGCGACCCTCAGCTCACTGACTTCACTAAGTGCTGCAAAAGGTGCTCCATCTCGGTATTGGCAGAGACTGGTCGGCCTATGATAATGTCACCGGGTCGTGATTTGGACAAAAGAAGCAGCCTAGATGTTCAGATGAAAACTGTTTATTCGGCGAAACTTGTGGCCCATAAGCAGAAACACAGATTACAGCAACACACTGGCACTGATAGCGGCTAACAGAGCGTCGACCGTTGATCAACGAACAAGCGATCACACGCGCCAGCATTTATACACATGCCATGAAATATCCCAGCACTATCACTAGTGGCAACTTAAGTTCCAGAAGAATCTGTAATGTTTCTGCTGTGGGCGTAATGGCATCGAAAGGTTCTACGATTATCTCGATGATTCTTTAGTCAATGGGTGTGCCTGCGCAAGGCAGCACATACGTGTGTAATGCAGCGATAAGGGAACTTGAGAAAGGAGTGTGCAGTTACAGTGATGATGTCACAGATAAGAATCAAAAAAGAGCAAAGGCAATGTGGTTGTGGGCAATAAACTTGCTATTTCGACATATTGCTGATGACCTTATTACATTCATTTGAAGATGCCTGGCTGCGTGGTGTAAACTGGGCAAAGTGATGCCAGTACAAGCGCATCATGCTGCCGCTTGTGCATTGCTTGCAAAATGCTTGTTGTTGTCACATTAAATGAACAGGCAACTCTCCGCACTTGTGATGATCCGGAGTGAAGCATTCATGAAGAATGCACAAACGCGTACATGCATCAAACTGCCCTGCATGCGATGGCGTGAGTCGAGTAGGTGATATGCTGCACGCAGCTAGCCAGGGGTGACCAGTTCCATGTGTCGGTAGTGCACTTCAGTGGATAGTAAAAGCTCGTTTATCTGGATCTCGTTTACTTGGACTCGTGGCGCGGTTCCGGCAAAACTGTGTATAGTACTGGTAGGGGGTCTTGGGTTCATGGCATTGAAAGTGTTCACACACTCACAACACAACCCACATTATGCGGGAAACCCCTGGTGTAGAGTGGGCCTTTCACTCGCGAAACGGGCAATAAATCATGAATAACGAAAGAACAGTCAGCAGTGAGCAAAGCTGCCTAATGGCAGCCAAAACATAATTTTAGTGCTTTAAACCTTTTCGTGTTCATCGGCACTCATTCATTCACGTTTATTCTTCATGGTCCTTCCTGACCAGAGGATGCTTTGTCAAACCATTGACTTTAGGCCATTAATTATTCCCACTCGTACACAACAAAGAGTAGCATCTCTGGACATCTTGCACATGAAGTGATGCTGTTGCCGTCCTCATCCTCATGTTGTGTACTTATTGTGTGCTTCTTCTTTCTTTCATATGCAACCAGTGTCGAAGGTCCGGACACTAAGAAGACGGCATGCTATGATATAGACGTCGAAGTGGTGAGCGCTCTTGCAACTTGTCCACACTTTCTATTTTGAATTAGGCAGTGTTTGTCCGCACATGTTTTATCATGATCAAGAAGTTGAACACCCTATAAGCCAGATTCCAGATTAGTTGCGCTTGAAGATATCATTTGGCAACAAATAATTCAGGTGTCTTATTATTCTGCTAGCAGTGCAAGATTTACGCTGGCCTCATAAGCTTAATGTGTAAGGGCAGCAGAAATTCGAGACATCTTTTTTTACTGCTACCCGAGCGCCTGCAATGTGACGTATGCTAAATGTCACCTCCAAGTTGAGCAAAAAGAATGCTTTTAAATGGTTGTATGTCATATTTACAGTGCCTCCTAGTAAGTAAAACTGGTCATGCTAGCACCGCGACCACCACTAGTGTATCGTTTGTGCTAAAGCTTGCATCCAAAATGGTTCTTTTCATGTGCATACATGGCACTGGTGTGTGTCAGGATTTCTTAGTCTAATAGCGCAGTAACTTTTATGCAGCTTTTTGGTGGCATCCTTTATTTGAGCATTTAATGAATCTACACAACAGTGCCATGCGCACTCAGTTTTATGTTACCATTACATGTTCACTGCGCAACACTAGACATAGACAAAAAGAAGATTGAAACAACACGAGCACAAGCTCACCACAGGTTGAATAGAACGGCACTTGAATAGTACATCATCATCCAACCAAACACGTTACAGGAGCGGCGCCCGCAAGCGCATCGATTGGAGGTAGAAGAGGAGGACGAGGATTGCGGGTGCGCTTGTGGCGTGGGGCAGCCGCTGTCAGCGAGCAGTTGCGGCCCGGATTCCGATCAGTAAACATGATGTCTGTCGGTCTCCACCTCTTCCCTGAGGGGTTCTCATTTCTAGCCTCGGCCTCGAATCCCTACATTTGGCATCCAACAGGAAGATTCCCTGCGCCTGGGCCATGGACATCGATCCCAATGATAAGGACGCTGCTCCAAGATGTGCTCCTCGACATCGGTCCGGCGGTTCCAACCAGCTCCCGACTTCGGCCCCTTCGAAGGTGATATCGGCTACAAGCAGCTCTGGCATCTATAGCGGGCCTGCCTGGGCATAACCCGCTTTGGAACTTGCAACCAGTTTCGGCTGCACTGGCCGATACTGATACTCCATAGCCTTTATTACCCCAGGGCGATGACGCCCAACTAGATGCAGCGCGTCTCCGTCGGGTGTTGGCACATCGCTTCTTTTATCGACATCCAGCTACCCATGCAGGCCTTGGAGGACAGGCGAGCCCGTCCAGCCGGGTGGCCCCTCACAATGACAAGCGACGTGGTGGTGACTCATCGTCCGCCTACGAAGATGCAGCAGCCCCGAACAAGGTCAGAAAGTCACGGGTTGTGGGAAAAACGAGCAGACAGGGCAGCTCCAGATGACGACGCAGGGTGCTTCGGAAATGACCACGAGAACATGCACGCCGCACAGTCTATGGCGGCGCTCAACGAGATTTCTCAGAACGAACTTGATGGCCTACGAGGCAGCGAGAAGGACACCGGTGAGTGCCAGACCAGCCAGCGGGACGTCACTGAGATCGGCATGGAGGTGGTTGCAGTGTGTCGAGATGCCGCCCGTCGAGACGGTGCTGCGGCCTGAGAAAATAGGGAAAGGAAGAAAAGAAAAAGCGAGAAAGACACCGCAATGTACAGCACATTGCTGTGGAGCCGAAGACCAGGAGCACATGGGAGGCGACTATTGCGCAGAGAGAGACGGCGCTACAGGCTGGGAGGAAGAAGGCAACGGTGCGGACCGTGTAAACAAGGATGCGAAGCCAGTTAAGTATTACAAACAGGGCGGAAAACAAGCTTGGGCACGTGACCTTGAGGAGGAAAAGGCTGCCTTTGAACCTGAACGGGATTGCTTCAAGTGAGATACATTGCAGCAGACTACCTGCATCAGTGAACTGGAGTATGAGTTCGGAAATTTTATTGATGAACGTGATGGTCTCAGGCAAGCGCACGACGTCTACAAATCCAATGCAACCACCATGACTGACGAGAACGACCACCAAATTTCTCAACTGGAGGACAAGGTGCGTATTCTGGAGAAAAAGTTGGCAGTGGCATGTACAGCCTGTTTGAGGATTCCCAAAACGCCTCAAGGATCAGTAGCATCAGTGGGCCAAGTTCGAAGGGCACTTGCTGGAGAGGGACGCTTGACTGTCAAACATGCGGCGCAGCGACAAAGGAGAGCTCCAACGGCAGGGCGTACCCCGAGATTCGCATCTGGACGAGCTAGGAGTGCAGGCAGCCGACTTCCGCGCGCAGCTCGTCCAGGTGCAGCAAGACCGTGACCGAGAGGACAGTAAAGCACAGGCGCTGACTAATTTGGAACTTAGAAAAAAGGAAGCCAAGTGCGAGAACCAGGAGTTGATCGAAGGACTCGAGGCTGGGCAGAAGACTTTGTTGGCAAGTCTCCGAACTTAAGAGGCATCTCCGTCTTGCGTCGCACTCTGAGACAACCCTGAAGCACGTTCTGACGAAAAGTGAGGCTGAACTAGAGACCATGCAGGACGAGTTGGCAAAGCTGAAGCAGGAGATGGCAGGTAGCCATGAAGAAGAAGCGACTGATGGAAGAGCTTGAGGCAAATAACAGCAAGCGGACAAAAAACAGTTTAGACTGAGAGAAGAGGTGACACAGCTGCAGGAATCCATGGAGAGGGTGAGAGAAATGGTGGAGCACTTGGAGGAAGCTGCGACCAATGCGAGCAACTGCATCAGCGTGTATGGCCTGTTGTGCAACGCGGCTGTCCTCGAGGAACAAAGTTGCGTCGAGAGAGAATGTAACAGGCAATCGGGTATCTACATTAGCAAGCATGGAGAAGTTAGCACCAGAGGCCTATGCAGTCTGAGCTTCGGAGGATGTCACGACCTCGTGGCAGCATACAGTTGCAGCCAGCGTTTCGATCAATAAACATGGTTTCTGTTCGCCTCGACCTCTTCCCTGGGGGGTTTTCAGGCAAGCCTCAACTTCGAACTCTTAAAACGTGCCCATATTGAAACGCTGTGATCCGCTGTTCTTATACAGTCGACGTACGATTTCCCGGATGCCGAAACTTCGGACATGTCTGATTTCCCCGACTCCACCAAGTTCCCCTTAGAGTGAACGTATTAAAAAGTCCAAAATTTCGTGACATTTATAGCTTTCTCCATCCGATTCTTCCTACTTTTTACTGCTAACCACAGACTCGAAACCTCTATCAAGGACGCCATTTTGGTTGTTTTTGGACCCTCAAACCCACCACGCTATTAGGACAGTTTCCGTAAACACGGACTGAACCCCGCTCCTTTCAAGATGTTTATGCTTGTTTCTCAAACCCACGCAAAAAAAAAAAAAGGAAAAGAAAACCTTCGGTGTAATGGATGGGCATTTCGGAGCGAAGTACCAGAAGGATTATTTTTACTATTCTCACGGGCTCCCCCACGCAAACACGAGGACCGGGCGACGCCTTGTCTACAGACCGTGTGACAGCGTACGGTGGAGATAATCGGCGCGCACCCTTCAGATCTGTGGCATGAGGGAGCAGCAGAGCATCTTTTGTTGGTTCGGGGAACGCGACCTTTGCGGCAAGCGCCTGTGCCGGGTCCAGTATGCCTTTCCGTCAGCCTCCGCGGCTCCAGGGCTCATTACTGTGTTCCGCGCGGATGGCCGCCCGCGGTGGTGAACGACAAAGAAGCGGCGGCCACGGAGAATTTCGCGGGAGACACCGAGCTGCATGGAAACGTTGAGACTTGGTCTGGACATCGGCTCACCAAGTACCGGAAGCATCGGGACCATTGTTCGCCCGTAATTAAAGTGTCTTCGGACGGCTCGCCCATCACTCTCCCTGAGGCTTGAGTTTGTACATTGTTACTTGCTCGGCTTTGTTTGGGAGAGGGTTTTCTACTGGTGTAGGCCACGGGGGTGGCCGCCGAAGATGATACACTCCGACTGAGAAGAAAATATGCCACGTGGATAGCGGCGATTGGTTTGGTGTTCCGGTAGGGCAGAGTGGGAACCCGAGAAAAGCGGCCACGTGTCAAGAAAGGGGAGAGGCAAGGGAGTCTTTCCCAGGGGAGAAAAAGAAGTAGACGGCGACGGAAGGGGACAGATCAGACCGCGAGGTGAAGAACCAACCTTCGGTCCCGACTCGAGCAGCCAACTCCGAGGCTCCGACTACATGGACATTCTGTGAGACGAACTTCACCTCCTTTACATGAACGAGTTTTGCGGGTAGGAATGCGGCGTATTGAGACATTGCGTGGTTTTATTAATTTATCACTTTATCGTTTGTGTCGTATGTTTACTCTGTATTGAGGCGCCGTTGTATTGCCACTGCTACTCGCTTATGTATCCTGTTTCGCGTTCCGCGAGTATTTGCTGATGTGTTACCCTTTTGTGTAACAGAGATGTGGTTCACGGGCAATATGTGTCTACGCCATTTGCACTTGTTATTCAATTAAATGCGTCCATGATTAAGAAAAGATCGTGACATCTCTTACTTCCCGGCCCCAGCACGAATCCCTGTATGTGGAAAGCAATTGAGGACACATAGCCAAGAGGGAACCGGATAGACAAGGGGTTGAGTGGTCTTCCCTCTCTTTGGTAATCGGTGGCGTAGCGGGGGACGTCTCAAGTGGTGGCAGCGGTGGGATCACTGCAGGGGCAACGGTGTGAGATTTCACCCTCGTATTAGGGAAGGAGAGACGGCACGATGAATGAACAGGCTACGCAGGTGGCTCAGGGGAGCGCGCTAGGAACGAGCGCTTTGATGTTAGGAAACATGGTTCCCTCGTTCACGGGAGACGCTGCAGGTCCGAACATTAGGTACTTCCTGCAAATTTTAGAACAGGTTGGTAGAATGGGGGGATGGCAAGACAGTCAACTCATTGGCATTGCGCGATGCAAGATGCTAGGCGCCGCATATGATTTTGCGTGGAGAGACGATAGTGTCACCGCAGCGTCTACGTACTCTGAGTTCAGAGCTTTGG